CAAGGAAAAAACTCAAAAACATTCAAACTCATGGGAGATTAAACAGCAAGCTATTAAACAATGATTTGGTCAATAATGAGATCAAAGGAATAAAAAAGTTTTGGGAAACAAATGAAAATGAACACACAACAGTCCAAAACCTCTGGGACACAGTGAAGGCAGTCTTGAGAGGCAAGTTCATAGCAATACAGGCCTACCTAAAAAAGAAAGAAACATTTCAAACAAACGACCTAATCTGACAGCTTGAAGAACTGGAGAAACAACAACAAACAAAGCCCAGACTGAGTAGAAGGAAAGAAAATAATCAAAATCAGAGCAGAACTAAATGACACCAAGACTAAAAGAAGAATTCAAAGGATCAACAAATCCAGGAGCTGGCTCTTTGAAAAGATAAATAAAATCGACAAGTCTTTAAGCAGACTCATCAAGAAAAAAAGGGAGAGGACCCAAATAAATAAAATCAGAAATGAAAGACGAGAGATTACTACTGATAATACACAAATACAAAGGATTGTAAGAAATTACTATGAACAGTTATGTGCAAAGAAATTAGAAAACCTCAATGACATAGACAATTTCTAGAAAACCAGAACCTCCTCACATTGAATGAAGAAGCAGAAAGCCTGAGCAGACCAGTAACAGCTGGTGAAATTGAAGCAATAATTAAAAAACTTGTGACAAACAAAAGCCCTGTACTGGACAGTTTCACAGGAGAATTTCACAAAACACTTAAGGAAGAGCTAGCCCCTGTTCTTCTCAGACTGTTCCAAAAAATCGAAGAAGACGGAAGACTCCCAAACTCTTTCTTTTTAAAATTATTTTATTTATTTATTTATTTATTTTTTCAAATACATTTGTTTCTGCCTACCCCCTACCAAACTCTTTTTATGAGGCCGGCACCATCTGAATCCCAAAACCAGATAAAGACACAACAAAGAAAGAAAACTACAGGCCAATATCGCTGATGTACACAGACATTAAAATCCTCAACAAAATATTGGCAAACCACATCCAGCAATACATTAAAAAGATCATCTACCATGATCAAGTGGGATTCATCCCAGCGATGCAAGGACGCTTAAATATTTGCAAATAAATAAACATAATACATTACATAAACAAAAGGAAAGACAAAAACCACATGATCGTATCAAGATACCAAAAAAAGCATTTGATAAAGTACAGCACTGGTTTGTGATAAAAACACTCAGCAAAGTGGGAATAAAGGGGGCATACCTCAACAAAATAAGGCCATATATGAAAAACCTACAGCCAACATCATACTCAACAGGCAAACACTGAAAGCTTTCCCACTAAGATAGGGAAAAAGACAAAGTTGTCTGTTTTCACCACTTCTATTCAACATAGTATTGGAAGTCCTAGTCACAGTGATCAGACAAGAAAAAGAAATAAAAGGCATCCAAATTGGAAAGGAGGAAGTTAAGCTGCCATTGTTTGCAGATGACATGGTGTACACAAAAAACCTCACAGACTCCACCAAAACACTACTTGACCTAGTAAGTGAATTTGGCAAAACAGCAGGACACAATGTTAACATTCAGAAATTGAAGGCATTTTTGTACACCAACCATGAAGTATCAGAACCAGAAATCAGGGAAAAAAAATACCCATTTGTTATATAGCAAGAAGAAAAATAAAGTACCTAGGAATAAACTTAACCAAGGAGGTAAAAGACCTGTACACAGAAAACTACAGAATGCTAAAGAAAGAAATTAAGGTAGACACAAATAAATGCAAGCTTATACTGTGTTTATGGTTTAGAAGAATTATCATCATCAAAATGTCCATTCTACCCAAAGCAATTTAGAGAGTCAATGCAATCCCTATTAAAATACCAATGACCTATTTTGCAGATATAGAACAAACTTTTCAAATATTTATATGGAACCAGAAATGACCCCAAATAACTAGCAATTTGAGAAAGAAGAACAAAGTAGGAGGGATCACAATACCTGACATCAAAGTATATTACAAGGCCATTGTAATCAAAACAGTCTGGTACTGGCATAAAACCAGACACATAGATCAATGGAACAGAACAGAAAGCCCAGAAATAAACCCATGTCTCTATGGTCAATTAATATTCAACAAAGGGGGAGGAGTATAAAATGGAGTAAAAATAGCCTCTTCAACAAATGGTGTTGGGAGAGCTGGACAGTTACATGCAAAAATTTGAAATTCAACCACCAACTTACAGCATACACAATAATAAACTCAAGATGGATAAAAGACTTAAATATAAGTCACAACACTATGAAAGTCCTAGAGAAGAACATAGGCAGGAAACTCTCAGATATTCCATGCAGCAATATGTTCACTGATATGTCCCCTAGCGCAAGGGACATAAAGAAAAGACTAAACAAATTGGATTTCATCAAAATAAGAAGGTTCTGCACAGCTAAAGAAAATATCAGCAAAATGAAAAGGGAATATTTGCCAATGATACCTTGGATGGGGGTTTGATCTCCAAAATATAAAGAACTCACATGACTCCACTCCAGGAAGAGAAGCAATCCAATTAAAAAATGGGCAGAGGACCTGAACAGACACTTCTCCAAGAAGGACATACACAGGGCCCAGAGACACATGAAAGGATGCTCAGTATCACTAGTCATCAGGGAGAGGCAAATTAAAACCACAACGAGATACCACTTCACACCGGTCAGAATGGCCAGTATAAAGAAATCAACAAACAACAAGGGCTGGTGAGGTTGTGGAGAAAAGGGAACCCTAGCACACTGTTGGTGGGAATGACGACTGGTGCAGCCACTGTGGAAAATAGTTTGGAATTTCCTCAAAAATCTAAAAAGGGAGCTGCCTTTTGACCTAGCAATTCCACTGCTGGGAATATAAGAACCCTGAAATACCAATTCAAAAGAACCTATACACCCCAATGTTCACAGCAGCACAATTTACAATAGCCAAGTGCTGGAAGCAACCTAAGTGCCCATCAATAAATGAGTGGATCAAAAAACCATGGTACATTTACACAATGGAATACTATGCAGCAGAAAAAAAGAAAAGAAAAAGAAAAGAATTGAAAAAAGTAAAAAAGGAAAGGAAAAGAAAGGAAAGGAAAGGAAAGGAAAGGAAAGGAAAGGAAGGAAGGAAGGAAGGAAAAGCTACTATTCTTCTTGACAGCATGGATGAATCTAGAGAACATTATGCTAAGTGAAATAAGCCAGGAAGGAAGGAAGGAAGGAAGGAAGAAAAAGCTACTATTCTTCTTGACAGCATGGATGAATCTGGAGAACATTATGCTAAGTGAAATAAGCCAGAGGGTGAAAGAGAAATACCATACGATGTCACCTGTAAGTGCAACCTAAACAACAAAACAAAGAATCAAGGAAAATATAACCATTGACATTGAAAGAAAAAACAAACCGACAGTAATGAGAGGAAGGAGGGATGGGGGTAACCGAGAAAAGAAAGGAAATGGTCAAATCAAGGATCATGTATAAAGGACCCATAGACAAAGTGGGGAAGGATTGAGGGTGGGAGGTGAAGGTGGGTGGGGCAGGGGAAAGTGGTGGTGGGAAAATGGAGACAAATGTATTTGAACAATAAAAATAAAAAATAAAAAATGAGGAAATGGAGGCTCAGAGAAATTGAGCAAATTAGATAAGTGACATGACTGGAGTAGAAACTTGGTTCTGTCTGCCATCGCCAGTATCTTAATTGTTATGCTATCAGTTAGAAGACAATTTTTTGTAAGAATTTTTGTCAATAAACAAGGATTTTCAGGCATGTAATTTGTTTAAAAGCAACAAACATCTATACGTAGGTCAGTTACCACTAGTGGGAACTGAACATATGAAAATAACTATTCAATGGTTCCCCCTGCTGGCTACTTCACAGACGTACAATTTGAGGAAAAACTCATTAATGGAAATTGTTAATATAGGTTAGTAATCAATTCCCTGTTCTCAATAGATCATGTTTTTAGATCTACTGAAGAAACAAATATCTAGAAATAATGTATATTTGAAACCTCTTTCTAGGGCCTTTTGGGGTATACTTTGGGACAATATGTCAGGAAGTCTACTGAGGGTAGAAGAGATTACACCTTGAGATTATGCTAGCCATAAAATTTCTGTTACACAGCAGTTAGGCTCATATCATAATTTCATTGAATAAGCTATGTTCTAAAGATGAGAGGAAGGAATAGCAAATTGTACCTCAGCAGCTACATATGACAAAGATTCTGAATTTCTTTTACAATATAGGTAGTCCCCACATTTCGAAGTTTCAAGTACATTACTACTCTCTTCTTTTTCTGTAAGGGTGTGTATTTTTCTTGACTCTCTTTTCCCTACACATAGGCTTGTTCTCTTCATTTTAAAAAGTTAAAAATAAACTACATAAAAAAATTTTAATTTGTAAGAATATTATACATTCACATGGTTCAAAAAGTATAAAAGGCAGCAAGGTGAAATATCTTCTCTCCATACCTTGTAACTTGCAAAAACAGAAACAATGAGTAAATAGCTATGTCTTAAATGTGCATGTGCTTTCCTATGACACTACTGTTTTTTTGTTTGATGGGAGCTAATAAAAATCTTCATACTATGTCTGACTATCTTGGATCCTTAAGTTTCACCACTGTCTTAAAACAGAAAAAGCACAAGTAACTGGGAAATTAGCTTTTACTTATATCCATTTTACAACCATCCAAGCATTCAATGACTCTAAAAGCATGAATTGAATAAATATTTACTGAGTATCTACTCTATGCCAAGCGCTAAAAAAAGTACAAAGGAACACCAATAATTACTTTAAAGATGGTGGTATTTTAAGGGGCAAAGGCTGTTATATGATAAACCCACACAAGTAGAATCCGAATTTAAAATGTTGCTCCCTAATCTCTCATCATCCACTTTGCAAAAAGGAAAAAACCATTTCACAACCTTCCAAATAGTGGGTTTATTTCAGCAAAAATTATTAACATAATGCTAAAAGCATAAAAGGAAATAAACTACCTTGTTCTTCAGGTGAAAGGTCACTGTCTTCATCTCCACTGCTTTCTTGTTCATGAACCTGATACTTTGGCTCCGAGCCTTCAGCAGCAGCTAATCTAAACAATCATTTACAAAGAAATCAACACTGATATTCCTTTATTAGCTGAGTGACTTCTTCAACTTTTGAGTCTCAAAAAAACATCTAAAGATCATTAATATACTGGCTGTAACTTGGTGAGGAAAATAAAAAGCAAAAACGTGGGCATGGGTGTAGAAACCAATAAAAAGAGTGGAGGGTGACAAATCAATAGACAGCAAAGAAGAGCTTTTCTTTAAAAGTTCACGTATTCTTGCCTTTCTCACTTTCATCTTTAAAACCCAGGAGGCGGGATATTAAAAAACAAAACAAAACAAAAACAACCGCCCCACCCCGCATTCTGTGTACTAGACACTGGTAATCTAATCTTCCTGCATACTTTGGTACCTTGCACACCTGCATACCTTGATTTTAATCTAGAAACAAGACTATAAAAGTTGCTATGAAAAATCCAGATAAACTTAGCACATGTTTTTTATTTATAAATCGTACGAGTAAAGTAAAATGCCTTTAACTCTATCCAATTAAAAACAGCGTAGGAGAAAATGCTTTATAGTCACCAGTACTTACTTCTTAGCTAACATATCTGGGGTCAGGGCTTCAGTAGTTTCTGAATCACTGAATGCATCTTCATCATCACCTACCATACTAGGATGACAAAAAGATTATACTGTAATTTTTCAAGCAGAAAAACAAGGTAAACATAATTCTACTGACTTATTTAAAATATCAACACATAGCTCTATTGTCACCTTTGAAGTTTAATTTTAGTTTCAGTTTAGTGAAAATATTCAAAAGTAAATGATCAAAAAAACCACTATTGCAATCATGAAGATACTGAAAACTCAAATCATCTGGGAAAAAATAAACAAAAAACCACTTCAATTATTCCATCCAGAGGCGGGGGGAGGGGGGAATGACAAATAATGCGCCCTACACCCCAGCCCCAAAAAACCCCCTCACGGCCTGGTTTTAAAATATGTATTGGTACATCAACCTGAAGATGAGATAAATGATCTATGCAGACGTAAGTTTAGGTAGAACAAAATTGGACCCTAAAGACCTCATTCAGGAAGTTTAAAGGCTATTTAGCTTCCCTACTCTCCTCTCTAATGAAAAATCTGCTCCTCACTTAATTGCAAAAACGGGCATCTTTAATTCTCAAGCCACTGCAGGCAATATAAAGCAGAATTCAAATATGTGTATTAAAAACTGCTGGTTTACACCTTTTCTGGTTAGTTAAGGAGGCAAATTAAATAAGTGCTATAGTTTAAGTGATACTCTCTTTTTTCTGTTTTTTGAAGGGAAGTTAAAATAAACTCATTTATATTACCAGATATAATTAAGCAGAGTAGGATAAAACAACCTCAATTTGTAGAACTGTTCTACAGAAAATTCTAGGTTGTGTTATAAAATTTACAGATGAAGTATGTTTGTGTATATATGCATATATATAAAAGAATATGTATATATATATACACATACACAAACAAATACAGGATGGGGCAAAAGTAGATTTACAGTTTTGAGCAGGTTAAACACAGTTTATTCTTGTTGTATTATTCATTGTACTATCTTGTCATGCGAACAACCATTCATGTACTTTTGCCCCATCCTGTATATACATAAAGCAGTAACTTTTTGTTATATTAGCATATGAGATTCTTAGGTAGTATAATCTGATCGTTCTATAAAAAGTATCTTTAAAAAATTAAAAAAAAATGCTGCTCAAACTGAGCACTAAATTAGTGTAAGTTGCACACACAGATCTGTACATACACAATGTCTCAGTCATTTAGGGACCAAATAACTTTAGAGACTCTCAGAGGAAGAATATGGGTAAGGTAGAGAGAGAACAGAAGTAGCATCAAATATCTACCATTCTGACTTACTATATTTTAAATATAAAGCCTAAAAATAACAACAACAGCTATTTTTTTTAATCATGTTTGATCTAAATTCTTTCAGGTTATCTCCAATCAACACAGATTAAGTAAGGGGTATCTATTACTTTTATTTAAAAAAAAATTTTTATTTTCAGTTACAGTTTGCTTTCAATATTATTATATATTGGTTTCAGGCATATAGCATAGTAGTTAGACAATTCTATATTGTATTTTACAAAGTGTCCCCCATGAACTTTCCAATACCCACCTGGCTCCATATATACTGACTATATTCCCTATGCTGTACTTTATATCCCTGTGAAAGGGGTAGAGGAATTAAGCACAAGTTGGTAGTTACAAAATAGTCCACTACTTTTAGTGAAAAGAAAGCAAGCCCTGATTTTGGCTTCTGGTACAATAAAAGTTTTAAGCTTTGTTTTAAAGCATATACCTATAAGAATATAAACTTTTCATAAATAATATGTTTATTTCTTCCCTCAAGTTTATTAGTATTGGAGTTTCAACATCAGTACTTTCTATTTCATTCTTTCTTTCTACCCCTGCCACAATCTTCATATTTATTCTTGTTTTTACTGTTTCTTTATTTTTAATTTACCTTGACTTATCTTCTTCCAATGCTTTCATTCACTGATTTAAAACAGAATTTCTTAACTCTATTTTAACAGTAACTTCTGGATTTATGATGTTTTATTTCAACGACGAAGGAGTCCAGTCTGAAAATCTTTATTTTTCCAATACAAGTTAAGGCCTAATCTGAATCAAGTATTTCTTTTTTTAAATTACATTTTACTGATTATACTATTGTAGTGTCCTGATTTTTTTATCCTTTGCCCCCCTCCACCCAGAGCCCTCTACTCCATCAGTTAATCCCCACAACATTGTTCATGTCCATGGGTCATGCATTTAAGTTCTTTGGCTACTCCATTTCCTATACTGTACTTTACATCCCCATGACTATTCTGTAACTACCTATTTGTACTTCTTAACCTCCTCACCTCTTCACCTATCCTCCCCCATCCTCATCCCATATTGCAACCATCTGGTAACTAACTTCTTTTCTCTTATTGCTTTTAAGAATTTCTCTTTATCTTTAACCTTTGGCATTTTAATTATGATGTGTCTTGCAGTGGGCCTCTTTGCATCCATATTGTTTGGGACTCTCTGTGCTTCCTGGACTTGCGTGTCTATTGGCTTTGCCAAATTAGAGAAGTTTTCTTTCACTATATTTTTAGATAGATTTCCAATTTATTGCTTTTTCTCTTCATCTTTTGTCATCCATATGATGAGAATGGTGGGCCTCCTTAAGTTGTCCCAGAGATTGTTTATACTTTCCTCATTTTTTTGGATTCTTTCTTCTTCTTCTGTGTGGTTGCTTTTTGCTTCCTTATATTCCAAATCATTGATCTGATTCTTAGCTTAATCCACTCTACTGCTGTTTCTCTGTAAATTGTTCTGTATTTCAATTAGTTGAATCCTTCGATACTGACTGGATCTTTTTTATGCTGCTGAGGTCCTCATTAAGTTCCTTGGGCATCCTTATAACCACTGTTTTGAACTCTGCATCTGATAGATTGCTTCTCTATGCTCTTTTTCTGGAGTTTTGATCTGTTCTTTCACTTGGGCCATGTTTCTTTGTCTCCTCATTTTGGCAGCCTCCATGTGTTTGTTTCTATAACCTAGGTAGAGTTGCTTTGACTCCGTGTCTTGGTAGCATGGCCTAATGCAGTAGATGTCCTGCAGGGTCCAGTGGCACAGCCTCCCTTACCACTCAAGCTGGGTACCTGAGGTGTGCCCTTTACGTGGGCTGAGTATACCCTACTCTTGTAGTTGAGCCTTGGTTGCTGTTCAAAGATCAATGAGAGAGATTTAGACAGGCTGGTCAGCCGCAAGAATTGGCTGTGACCACTCATCACCAACTTGTGCCCTCTGTGTAGGATCAGCAGTGCAGGGGTAGGGTGGTGGTGCTATGATGAAGTCTGTAGCTGTCCACTGGGTGTGATTACCTTGGGCTTTCCCAGGTGGTTAGAGACCAAGGTCAGCCCCCTACCTGTGTTTTGTCCAGGGTGCCCTACCCTACATCCAGTCTGAGATGGATGCTACTTGTGCTGGGCTTGGGTATTCCCAGGCAAAGGCAAGCTGTGAATCAAATCTGGATACTACTAGGGCTCAATGAAGCCAGCTATTGCTTGTTTGATAGGATTTAGGAGCTAAGACTAGCCATTGTAATGGAAAAGCAGCTTGAGTGGGCACGTAAGTTGAGTGGGGCAGAGCCTTTGGGAATCTCCAAGGTGGGTCAAATAGTGTTAGCCAGGTTGATGTAGTCTTAGATATGGCACCAGCTTGCTGGCTCTGTGTGGTGAGGGTTTAGCAAAGGGAAAATAGCTTTGCTCCCTTTGATGCCAGAAACTTTAGTTTCTCCCTGTATACCACTGGCGGCTTTCAAGCTGCTACCCCAGTGTGGGAGCTCAGAGGGAATGAGTGTGAGTGTGTGTGTGGGTTCTTTAAGAGGAACTGTTTGGGGTTCAGCAGTTTCTTCCACCGGCTCAACACCCACTGGTTTTGGCACCAGAAGTTGTGGGGGCTTATCTTCCTGGCACTGGATTCCTGGGCTGGGGGGCCTGGTGTGGGTCTGGGACTCCTGATTCCCAAGATATCCCTCCCAAATGTTTAACCATGTGCGTGTGGGGCCAGCTCGTTCCACATCTGCACCCCTCCTTCCAGTCTGGATGGATGTGGTTTCTTTAATTCCACAGTTGTCAGACTTCCATTCAACTCTATTTCTGATGTTCCTGAGTGATGGCTGTTCTACATTTTAGTTGTAATTTTGATGTGGTTATGTGAAGAGGCGAGCCATGTCTGCCTACACTACCATCTTGACCAGAAGTCTTCTTCTTCTAACCCTGGGCTCTGGCAAAAGGAGGGTCAGAGTGGACCAGAGATGCTTGAGGGGAGACTGGGGACCAGAGATGCTTTGGGGAGGGAATTGAGAGAGCAGCCACTGGAATCCTGGTGCGGAGTCATCCCCATATTGCAACAGCCATCTTGATGAGGCAGATCAGTATTTCTCCTTATTTAGAATTCCATCTTCTCAAAATGCTTACTGATAATTATTTTTGTCTTTATACTAACTGCTGCCACATACTATTATTTTAAAATTTATTTTAAAAATTCTGGAAGACTCAAAATTGCCAACAATCACAATGTAATTATCTAAACTACAATATTATGTAAGTCAAAAATAAGGACATCAAAATTAACGACCACTTATCTTTGAATGGGTTAAAAATATGGTTACCATCTGTGAAGTTATTTTTTGCAAAGAAACTGAGTAAGCTCCTGATTTCTATTTCAGAAACAAACAACCTCAATCTTCATTTTCCTTTTTATAATTACAGGGCCTGGCACAAATAATGTCCCTCTTTTATTTTTTATTACAAGATCATAAGCATGTAATTTTGTAACATAACAATAACACACTCAAGCACCCCATATGGAATTTTAGGTGAAATGTTCAAATTGCTGTCCATCTTGTGTGAGACATTCATGTACCCTACCTACCAACCACACTCATTGGTGTTATTTCTGCCGGACCGTAAAGATTATTTTAAGGAAGGCAAAAGTCACCAGCCTGGGAGCATCACTGGCAGCTAGAAATCAGAGAGATGCAACAAATAAACACTTACTACTGAAATTATAATGTATAAAATGGATCCCACAATTTAAATGTTACATATTAGTTATATTATTACTAAAAATATGCAGTTGGATTATTAATTAGTGCTCCAGTAACAAATATATAAACAAACACAAATTCAAATCAGCTGTTATCCAGAAGTTCTTATCAAATGCAAAATGTAAACAAGTCAAAAAATGAATGTCTACAAAACATTACCTATGGTACGGAGTGCTTGGTTCATCTATTTTCATTAAACCATAGTCTTTGTCTGCTGGATGATATGTTGCCAGGATGTTCATTTCATCCCACTTCTGGGATTTTTTACTAAAAAAGAAAAGAATTCTTCCTCAATGCAATAAAAGATAAAAAAAGCGCACATTTAAAATTTGCAAAAATCTATATCCCACACTCAGTTTCTAGTTGACTGCTACTTTCTATTTTTCCAGCTACTTTATTAGAATAGAAACTGATAGGATAAAAGCTGTAAGTAATTAAAATAAAATCTCAGTATTTTATAAAATACTTAGTACCTATATATTAAAACGTATTATTCAGAATCTTCATGAGGCATTCAAAAAACTATATGACATGTTTATAGCCTTCATCAGGTCTACAAAATTAAATCAGGAAAAACTGACATTTATATATTGTTTAATCTAAATAGGTAAGGATTTTGACCTATTATATATTAATAAAAGTTTTATTAAAAAATGTAACTAAAATATTTCTTTGGCCTAATGTTTTCAGAGATATCCTTAACAATAAAAAGAATGAGAATATAAAACTAGGGTAAAAACCTCATTAAATTCATACACCACTAAATAAAGGTTTAGATTGCAAAACAATAAAACTATAGCTTAGTTTTTTTAATCTAAATAATAAGGCTTTGCTAAGAAATGGTATACATCAGTCCCCCCTTATCTGTAGGATGCCTGAAATCACAGATAATACTGAACCCCATATATAATGTTTTTTCCTATACACACATATTTATGATAAACTTTAATTTATAAATTAAAAAAATAGCACAATTATAAACAATATACTGTGATAAAAGTTTTGTGAACAGTCTTTCTTAAAATACTGTACTCATCACCTTTCTTGTCATGATGTGAGATGATATAATGCCTGTGTGGTAAGATGAAGTGAGGTGAGCGATGGCAGGCTTTGTGACATAGTATTAGGCTACTATTACAGGGGTTGTTTAAACAAAGACACTGTGATACATAAATAACTGGTATAACCAAATGGCTACAAAGTGACTCATGGGCAGGTGGTGTATATAATGTGGATACGCTGGACAAAAGGATAATATCCATATTGAGATTTCATCATACTACTCAGAATGCTGCACAATTTGAAACTTATGAATTGTTTATTTCTGGAATTCTCCATTTAATATTTTTGTCTTCTTTGAAAATTTTATTTTTCAATTATAATGTTTTCATTCAATATGATTTTGTATTAGTTTCAGGTGTATAGCATAGTGGTTAGACAATAATATACTTTATAAAGTGTTTTTCCTCTTATTTCCAGTACCAACCTGGCACCATACATAGCTATTACAATATTGACTATATCCCCTATGCTGTACTCTACATTCCTGTGACTATTCTGTAACTACCTATTTGTACTCATTAATCCCTTTACGTTTTCAACCAGTCCCTGAAATCCCCCTCCTCTCTGGCATCCATCAGTCTGTTCTCTGTATTCTCTGTTTCTGTATAGAAACAGACTCAGTAAGTCTGTTTGTTTGCTTTTTAAAGTCCACATTTAAGTGAAATCATATAGTATTTGTCTTTCTCTGAGTTATTTCACTTAGCAAAAAGGGTTAAGATTTCATTCTTTCTATGGCTGAGTAATATTCCACTGTATGTGCGTAACAATCTTCTGTATCCACTTGTCTACTGATGGGCACTTGGGCTGCTTCCATACCTTGGCCACTTCTATAACAGTGCAATAAACATAGGGGTGCATATATTCTTTCAAATCAGTGTTTTGGGTTCCTCTGGATAATACCCAGATGTAGAATTGCTGGGTCACAGGCAGTTCCATTTTATATTTTTTGGGCACCCTCCATATTGTTTTTCATAGTGGCTGCACCAATCTGAATTCCCACCAAAATGCACAAGGGTTCCCTTTTCACCACATCCTCACCAACACTTGTTATTTGCTGTTTTACTGACAATAGCCATTCCAACAGTTGTGAGGTGGTATCTGACTGTGGTTTTAATTTGCATTCCTCTGATTAGTTATATTAAGCACCTTTTCATATGTTTATTGGCAACCTGTATGTCTTCTTTGGAGAAATGTCTATTTAGTCCTCCACCCATTTTTTAACTGGATTGTTATAGTAGTTCCTTATCAGTTTTGGATATTAACCCCTTATTGGATGTACCATTGGCAAATATCTTCTATTCAGTAGGCTTACCTTTCATTTAGTTGATGGCTTCCTTTGCTGTGCAAAATATTTTTAGTTTGTTACAGTCCCATTTAATTATTTTTACTTTGTTTCGCTTGCTCAAAAAGACGTATCATAAAATATACTGCTATGAGAAATGTCCAAGATTTTGCTGCCTATGTTTTCTTCTAGGAGTTTCATGGGTTCAAATCTTACATTTAAGTCTTTAATCCATTTTGAGTTTATTTTTAAGCAGATGGTGTAAGAAGATGGTCTAGTTTCACTTTTTTGCATTTATCTGTCCAATTTTTCCAAAACCATTTACTGAATAGACTATCTTTAACCCACTATGTTTTTGCCTCTTTTGTCATATATTAATTGACCATATAGGCATGGGTTTATTTCTGGGCTCTTTAGTCTGTTCCATTGATCTATGCGCCTGTTTCTATGTCAGTACTGTTGTGCTGTTATGATTACAACAGCTTTATAGTATCATTTGGTATCAGCTAACATGATGTCTCCATCTGCTTTTTTTTTCCTTAAGATTGCTGTGGCTACTCAAGGTCTCTTGTGGTTCCATACAAATTTTTGGATTGCAGTAGTACCTCAGTAGACATCGTAAATTTGTTCTGATGAGTGGTGAGCAAGCGACAACTAATGAAGCATTTTCTCTTTCAGGGTAGCACTGTGACTCATACAAGTTCTAGCAATTATGATGAGTAGCGAGCAAGCAAAGAGTGCTGAAATATTTTTTCTCTTCAAAATATGACAGGTACCAGGTTAGACAAGTTCTGAAGCTGACTAGTACCAAGTATTTGTTATAGTTCTGTGAAAAACACCATTGGTATTTTGATAGGAATTGTACTGACTCTACAGATGGTTTTGGGTAGTATGGTCATATCAATTATTTTAATTCTTCCTATCCATGAGCACCATATATGCTTCCATTTATTTGTATCTTCTTCAACTTTTCTTCTGTGTCTTATAATTTTCTGAGCACAGATCTTTTACCTGCTTGGTTAAATTTATTCCTGGGTATTGTACTTTTTTTGATACAATTATAAATGGGATTGTTTTCTTAGTTTCCCTTTCTAATACTTCATTATTGGTATATAAAAATGCAACTGAATTCTGAATATTAAGTTTTGTATTTTGTTGTTACTGAATTCATTTATCAGTTCTAGTGGCTTTTTGGTAGAATCTTTAGGATTCTCTGTATACAGTATCATGTCATCAGCAAATAATGAGTTTTCTTTCTTTTCAATATGGATGCCTTTTTTTTTTTCCTTCTTGTCTGAGTGCCATGGCTAGGACTTTCAATCATGCTGAATTGCTGAAAGCAAATATCCCTGTCTTGTTCCTGATCTTAACGGAAATGCTTTTAGTTCTTCCCCACTGAGTATGATATTAGCTGGGGGTCGGTCATACATGGCTTTTATGTTGAGGTATTTCCCTACTATCCCGCTTTGCTGAGGGTATTTTTTTTTTAAGCATATTGAGGTATGTTTGTCTATTCTCACTTTGCTGAGTTTTTATCAAAAATGGGTGCTTGATTTTGTCAAATTCTTTCTCTTCCTCTATTGATACAATCATATGATTTTTACCCTTCATTTCATTTATGTGGTGTATCACATTATTTGATTTGTAGATATTATACCAACCTTGCATTCCAGGAATAAATTCCACTTGTTCCTGGTGTATAATCTTTTTAATGTAGTGATGAATTCAGTTTGCTAATATTTTGTTGAGGATTTTAGCATCTATGTTCATCAGGGATATTAGCCTATAATTTTCTTTGCAGTGTCTTTATCTGGTTTTGGTACCAGGATAATGCTGGCTTCAGAAAATTAGCTTGTGGGGGGGGGGGTCTTCCCTCCTCTTGAATTTTTTGGATTAATTTGATTTTTTTTGTAGGTAATTTTTTTTATTGTTTTTACATTACAGCTGTCCCAATTTCCCCCCATTGCTCTTCTCTGCCTTGGCCACCTGCTGCTCCCACAGTCAATTCCCACCCTGTTGTCATAGTCCATGGGTCATTTACCCTTATTCTTTAACTTGGAATAATTTAAGAACAGGTGTTAGTTTTTCTCTGAATGTTTGGTGAAATTCACCTGTGAGGCCATCCAGTCCAGGACTTTTGCTTGTTGGGAGTTTTTGATTACCGCTTCAATTTTGTTGGTTGTAATCAGTCTGTTCAGATTTTTTCTTTCATCTAGATTAAGTCTTGGAAGACTGTATATTTCTAGGAATGTACCCATTTCTCCCACATTGTCAAATTTGTTGGCATATAGTTGTTCATATCCATTTAATATATTTGGACTGTGGGTAAATGAAGCTGTGGAAAGCAAAACCATTGATAAGGGGGTGTTCCACACATGGGATATATCTACTTAAGAGGAAGAGAAATGTTTTGTAAGTGCTTTATAAACACCCATTAATATCCATTCAACAAAATACTTGCACAACTACTCAGGTGCTCAGCAAATCCTTCTCTACTCATTAAAAGAAACATAAAAGACCTCTGCCAGCCAACAATATGTTGTCACATGTACAGTTTATCACTTGGTTATGTATTTGAAAATAATACTTTAAAAAGAATCAATGTAGGTTTTACATAGATTCAAATCATATCTTCTGCATTTGGTCCACAATGTTGATGTTCAAATGTAGGTAATTCAACTTTCCCAAATCTACCAATATCCTGGATCCTGAAATGTTCTTGAAGAACAACATACTTAAATTTTAATATTATATTCACTTCTTTATGCTTTGAGTCACCTTAAAAATTACATGTGTCCACTCCTGGCAGGTGACCTTGCCTTTGTGTTCTCTTCCTTTCTACCCCTAAAGGGCCCACAGTGTCCCCATTTAAGACTAAGCACTTTTTTTCTTATTTTTATTGTGGTAAAATATACCTAAGATA